ACAAATCATTGGACTCGGCATTTGAATAACTAAACTTGTTCAAGTATATTCTTAAACCTTCTTGAAAACATTGAGGTGCGATCCACTTTTCAAGCATTCTTATAATTGAAGATCCTTTAGAATATGAAATCTCATCAAAGATTGTTTCTATTTCATCAGGATTATTAACAACACATGCAATTTTGTGTGTTGATTTTAAAGAATCAAATTGCATTCCTCTTTCAATATTGTCATTAATGAAATGATTCCAAATATTAAGTCCACCCAATAATTCGTCTTTGATTGCAAACATAGCTAAATGAGATGCCCATGTAGCAAAGCCTTCATTAAGCCACAACTCATTAAACCATTTCATAGTTACTAAATTACCAAACCACATATGTGCCAATTCATGACAAACAACTTCAGCCACTCTTAATTTCTGTGCAGTAGTTGCTTTTTCAGGATCAATTAATAAAGCTGTCTTTCTGTATGTAACTAATCCCCAATTCTCCATTGCACCGGCAGCAAAAGCTGGAAATCCAACCATATCTAATTTAGGAAGTGGATAATCAATACCAAAATATTCTTCATAGAATTTTAAGCATTTTGAAGCAACGTTTAAAGCAAACCTACCCCATTCTTTTTCATCCGGATGAGCATACACTCGAATTGGTACTCTATGATCAGTTGATTCAATATAATCAAGTCTTCCTACCACAATAGCCATCAGATAAGTTGACATAACAGGTGTGGTTTCAAATATATAGGTATAAACACCAGATATCTTTTTAATACACTTCTCAGCTCTCATATTAGACAAAGCAATATAATCGCCTCTTGGTACTGTTATTTCTAACTTAAATGTAGCTTTCATATCTGGTTGATCAACACATGGAAATGCCTTACAAGCAGAAGTTGGTTCAAAATGAGTTGCAAACAAATAGTCGTTATTATACTTACTCCTATAAAATCCATCTAATACTTCTTCAATTACATTTTCAAATACCACAACAGTAATAAACTTACCAGTTACAGGTGTACCAAATTTAATCTTAAGAATGTCATTCTCACTAGTAAAGGTTGAAGCAATGTTTGTAACATCATTCTCATTCTTACCATAAACCTTCTTGATATTAAGATTATTTGAATTAAGTTCAACTTCATCTATCTCAAGGTAATCTCCATTATCATTCTTGTGTGTTTCCATAGTGATCTCTACTATTCCCTTATAAGAATCTTTACTCATATCAAACAATATGTAATAATGTACTGGTTTTGACTTATTCGTTGTCTTATAATCCATATTTATGCGGTTAAATTAATTAATTTTTTAAATTTAATAACTATTAAAAATAACGTAAATTGAAATAGAATCAAGATTTGATCAACACATGTTTTTATAAACATTTACATCAAATTAATCATTATAAATTTTTAATAAACAAATCCTGCAAAATAATGATAAGAAAACTTAACAGTAAAAGAACTAATTCAAATGTATTTCACATGCTAACAGAAAAACAAATTAGAGAATTGAGAGATGCGTTTAATTTGATAGATACAGATAACGATGGAGTTATTTCAGAGAAAGATTTTAAAATATTCACAGAATCAATAGGTTCCCCGTTCTCAGAAAATGAAATGAGAGAAATGCTTGATCAAATCAGTCCAACATACAACTTTATGACATTTCTTTCTTTAATTGGAGATAAACTATCGAATATTTCATCAGAATCTGATCTTATTTCCAGTTTTAAAATGTTTGATAGTAATAATTCAGGAACAATCACTAAAGCCCAATTTTTAGAAATAATTGATAAAGATAAATACACTCAAAAGGAAATTAATATTTTATTAAAGGATTGTACGACTGAAACCAAAATTGATTATACAAAATTAGTACAAAAAATAAAACACGGTGAAATATTAGAATAAATCATGATTTTTTAACTAAAGAGTATAATTTTTTATTCTCTTTTAGTCTTTTACTAATGAATTTACCTGTTAATTCTATCATTTTAGCTACAAGTGATTGTATAGCGATTATATCATCTTTCTCATTAAAGTTATGTACTAACTCTTCCCATACATAATTACATAACACATAAACATTATCATCTGATATATTATTAGTGTCAATATAACTTTCTAAATATGAATACTCTTTTACAGTATTGATCAAAAAAAAGTGACCACTTGAAAAATATGATAAATAAATTTAATTTAACATTTTTAATAATAAA